TATATTTTCTGGGTAGCTTTGAATGCATTCATATTTAATATTTTTTTGTTTCAGACTACTTAATTTTAGTGTATAGTTTTTTACCCTTATGTGAATAAACTTATATGTTTGTCATGATTTTGGCTTCCTCGCTAGCTCATCTTCTGGCTGGAGTTTGGAAACTATTGCGTCGATGACTGTCTTATTATTGGCTGTTACCTTGTTTTCTGCTTTAATTTCTGTTTTCGTCTCGCAATTGAAAGCGTGTGTCTACATCAGAACACCAATCAATTAAAGGGATGTAATTAATGAGGATGAATTCATATCTTCACTTCAAAATCTGGAGTAAAAGAGAATCTGTGATAAAGTTTTTAAACTTTGGGGATCCAATTGATAGCATAAAGGGGTATCAATCATACATTTCTGAAACTTTAAAGGTCAATTCGATAAAAAATGTGAAAGTTATCATGGAATGATACGTTAAAAACTCAAACGATAATCTATTATATTCTCCTTTGTGAAGAAGTTTGTAAAAACGAAAATCTTTCACCCTAAACCCTAGTTAATTAAGGTAAAAGAAAAAACCTAACTTGATCTTGTGCTCATGCTAACCGCTTTGTCCTTCGAATCAAAACCCTTGTTATCGTTTATACAACGGCGACTTAACTTTCATGGCGATGTTTCGTTCACCAAATCCGCTACATTTATCTGAAGTTCCAAATTTTGTTGCCTCAAAGTTTCAACTTCAACCAGCAAAAACAGTATCCCGTACTACATCGACAGGTTCATCGAGGGAGAATTCTCTGGTCGCGACCATGGCTCGTTCACCATTGCCACCTAATTAATATAAGGTAAACCGATAAAAACAAGGCATTTGATTACCCCATTTGTGGTATTCGACCCAGTCCATTATCCAATAGATTCCTCCGAATCTGCCACTTCGAATAATAAGATCCCATTTCCACCTTGGTGGCGCCATGGCCATAGCCAGCATTCAAGATCAACAAACACAAACCTAGCTAGCAGCAGCACCTCCAAGCCTCTCGTTGAAGAAGCCATTACAAATTTAAACAATCACGGTAGCCTGAGAATTTATAATCATAAAAATAAATAAATTATGATACAGAGATATTAGAGTTATTAATCTTAATTATTAAACAAAACTCAACAACGGCGTTAATTAATTAGCTCATGTATTTGTCGATTAATACAGAAAGATTTTCCACGTAAAAAAGTTTACAATTATTGACCGTAATAACAATAGTTTAAAAAGTTTACATCTAAATATTTCATAATCTTTTTGTTTATATCATATGATCAACGTTAGATATCTTTGTCCTTTGGCTATGTAGCTCAGACTTAGCATCATTTTATTCTTAATTTTATATTTTGTTCATTACTTTGAATGCATTCATATTTTATATTTCGTTTTCAGACTAATTAATTTAGTATATAGTTTTTGACCCTTATGCTTGAACTTACATGTTTGTCATGTTGCTGCTAGCTTATTGACTGCTGGAGTTAATTTTGGAAACTATTGCGTCTGTAATAGTCTCATTATTGACTGATATCTTGTTAATAAATGGTGGAGTTAATTTCTATATATATATGTAAATATAGTACGTAAGGATCTTCTCCTCATTTAGTTTTACCTCAAACATTTAATAATCTAATAACACATGGCAATTACATAAATGGCAACAATTAATTTTACTTCATTTAAGGATCTTCTTAAATTGTTTATAAATGATGGAGTTTCATTGTATCTGGAACTTCAGGCTTTTACTAATGGAGAAGACTGTTAAAATGAAAATCTCTTTAGCACTTAAGAAAATAAAACACTGCCTTTTAGACTCCATTAGAATTAATTACCTGGACTCGTTTACGGGTTATCATGATCGGCGTCTGATGGTGATTCGAATATTACTTTGGAGTTGATATATGGGGCATTATTATCAATTGACTCGTTTACTGGTGGACTATCTAAAATAAAACCTTTCTTGCCGCGTGATGGTGATGCCGAAGAAGATGATGAAGAAGAAAAACTGAAGTGGGGTTTTGGTTTTTCATTCATTAAGTTCCTACTATATTGGTTAGTCGAGTTCACAATCACAGAGGATGATGAGAGTGATATGAACGAATCCACAAGCCTTATAAAGCTCCAGGTAAAAATTCGAAACATTCTAATTAGACTTAACACCTCTTCCCACAACGAAAAAGCTCATTTTTCTTATAGTGATATAATTAGAACAATTTTTTTTTTTTTTTTTAATCACCCGAGTTGCTCTTATTAGTTTGTACGTATCTCAACTAATCTTCCAGAGCCTTATAATATACTGTCGATCGAGTAAGAGTTTTAGCGATCATCCCTATTAGTATCTGAGAAAATTCAAACTCAAGAATTCATGCAACTTCCATTCATTCTTTTACCATCAAACCATCCAGTGGTGGTTTAATTAGAACAATTTTGAGTTAAAAACTTATGTTACAATTTCTTGACATTGTATATATATATTTTTTATCTTCAATAGGTGGGTTTGCTAGCGAATGAACCAACTATTAGAAGGGAACTTAATCAAATTGCAGAAACTGATGACATCAATGGTAAAACTTGTCTCGTTCAATGTTATAAATATAGGTTCATAGTTTGGAACTTGAAGAAGCCTTTCAAGGTATCATATATTTAAGTTAGAGTAAACGACATATTCCCACCCAAGGTTTGATAAAATCCCAAGTTGGTATCCCAAATTCCATTTATTCCAGATTCCCACCCTTAAAGTAACAAAAAATAGTTAGATATAACGGCTTAGAGGTAAATTGATCATTTCACAGAGGAGGCGCACATTAGCAGATTGTCGGTCTTAACAAAGCTCTGACGCACGTTAACCAACATCATCGTTGACGTTTTTCGCCCTTTTCCAACGATTCTTCCACCCAAAATCACCATTGTCACCACCATTCGAACCCTCATCCTCCCCTCTACAAAACCTTACCCTTCACAGTCCCTCATCATTCGCTGATCTTCAGCCACGACAGCTGCCACATGCGACTAGTTTTCGTCGGTCTCCACCAGCGAATGACCACTAAACGGTTGCTAGAGACATAGGGGTTTTGTAGATTTGGAGATGCTGGTTGCAGTGGTGATGTCCAATTGCATTCTCGTTGCCGGAATCTATCGGAATCCAGCAAAGAATGACGAAAACCTAAGCCTGACGGCACCGGCAATTGGAAAGCCTAATGAGTCGGGAACCAGAGGGATTTTGGACGACGGACGATGGGGAAGGTGATGGAGGTGACCAAAGGGTTCGCCACCATTGAAACAGCCCAGATCCAGTGAAAACCACGACAGTGCATAGTCACTGAGGGTGTAATTGAAGTAATTTCAAAATAAGATGGTTAATTTTATGATTTTAGTAATTTAGGGGTAAAACATAATTTATTAATTTAGGGTTAAGGGTATTATGGTAATTGCACCCTCACTACCTTAAAAATTGTTAACAGTGTTATTTTAAGGGTCGGAATCTGGAATAAATGGAACTTGAGGTACCAATTTGGGATTTCATCAAACCTTGGGTGGGAATATGTCGTTTACTCTTTAAGTTAAAAAGATTAAGAGAATTTGCTTACTTCCAAGGAGCTATAATGCACTGCTTTCGATTTTTTTTTTAAAAATTTTTATTCAGAGGCGTTTGGGTCAATTTACGCGTACCTCGACTAGTTGAGTTATGTTGTTAATTTGCATGGTTTTTTTGACTATTAATTTTCATGAATCATCTGCCATATGATTAACTATATAGATTAAGGAATAAAACTTGCTAATATATATTTCTTCTTTTTTTTTTTTCTTTTTATTAATGTTTTATTTATTTACAGACTTTTGGCTTTTAGGTGTAGGTTGCATATCCTCTTATTCATCTGTAAGTTAGGATAATCTTCTCTTTGATATTTGCTAATTTATTCCAAGTAATAATTTCATTTAATCAATCCTTCATTGAAGACCTTGGAGGACATTGAAAACCTTGATGCCTCTGAAAAGTCACATGGTACTAATACTGGAATAATTAATTTTAACATTATATAGTCAAGATATAATTAATGTGATTAACTTATAATATAGCATTACTGTATACTTGACAGGAAATATGTATAATTTGTAGCTATGAAGGAGGAAATGGTTCCATGTCAATTGAAGAAATGCAGAAAAATTATCTATAATTAAAGCTCTCTCTGGACTGTGTGCCTGTAGCTGGGGTTACTCCTCTCAAAGAGGATCATTTATAGGCCTTTTTTTTTTTCTTTAATCTATTTAAAATTTTCTTATTTCACTTTACCAACCCTTGAAAAATAGGGTATTATGTAGGTACCCCTAAAATTTGGGGATTATTACTCATATCTTTATGGTTTCAAATTCATTATAAATACTCCTTTCGTTTATATTGAATGCAAGAAAAGCCTTATCGCTTTTATTTATGTCTTTTAATTTGTGTTATTCTTGATTGAGACATGTTATGACTTAATTTTTAATTATTCATTATTTAAATTTAATGATATATAAAGTTGAGATTAATAAAATAATTATTATGTTTTATAAAACATAAAATAAGCTAAATAATAACATATATCGAAGTTTTTTTAACATTCACAAGGTTTAGTGGGAGAGAATAAAAAGACTTGTAGATGTCAGAGTAGAATGAGTAGAATGAAATACTTATATTCTTATAATTGACAATATTCAAAACATAATTTTAGTATAATGTCTAATATATGGTTATTTTATCTTTTATTTTACAAAAAAATAAAATAAAATAAATATATGATATTTATCATATAATCGAATTATTGAATATATTAAATGATTTAAAAATATAAACAGATACCATTCAACTACAAGGGTGTAAGTGTTTTATTCTGAAACCTCTTAATTCTCTATCTTCTCACTAAACCTTAGGGGTGTCTATGTAGAAAAAAAAAACCGTTAGGACAAGTATTTCGTAGTTTACAAGAAAGAAACATATACATAAAGTCAGATCCCTACACCACACGAATACCCGTTTTCTATTTCATCAGTTTCCTTCAACCTCAAATCCCTTTCTCTGATTCTCATTGTTTCAGCTTAAGTTTAGGCGAACGCTTCAAATGGTAGTGAGTTTGAACCCCTGGCGTCTGAGTTTTTCTCAGCGACATTTCAACAAACAGGTACCGGCCAGAAATTTTCTAAGACAAATTAAGAGACCTCAAATACTTCCTTCGGCTTCTGGAGGTGCTTTTGGCTTAAGGGTGTTTGTAATTTCCGACTTACACACTGACTACTCGGAGAACATGAGATGGGTCAAGAGTTTATCTTCAACAAGACACAAGAAAGATGTTCTTATTGTTGCTGGTGACGTGGCTGAGACTTTCAACAACTTCATTTTCACAATGTCCCTCCTCAAGGATCGATTTCAACACGTGTTATTTGTTCCTGGAAACCATGATCTTTGGTGTCGTTATGAAGGGGTTGATTATGTAAGAACATTGTTCGCTTGGACACATTTCACAAAATTAACATATTTATTTTGCTGTTGATATTTATCTGATAGGTGTTAATTCAAAATGTATCAAATTATGATGCTTCCTTTTGAAATTGTCTGCTAAATATATAATGTCTTGTCTTTCAGCTTGATTCTCTTGAAAAGCTGAATAAATTGCTTGATGCATGTAGAGGACTTGGAGTTGAGACCAATCCGGTGGTAATTGATGGTGTGGGAATCATTCCTCTGTTTTCTTGGTACCATGAGGTGATTAGTTACTGATTTTGCATTTGCTTCTTATTTTCAGTACTTAGCTTCTTGGTTATTGGTGGCTTGATCAAAGTGGTTCTTTTTATCTTTCTGGGCTTTGTGGATCTATGCAATGCTTGATTGTGCATCTCTTATTTTGCAGAGCTTTGATAGAGAGAACGATATACCTGGCATCCGTGTGATGTCTTTGGAGATGGTGATTCACTTTCTTTTAGCCTCGTAAGGGTTTCAGAAACTTTGAATTTATAAAATCCTCATGAAACTTTTATTTGAGATAATGCTTGATAAACTTTGTTTTGCATGAGGGCATAGAATTTATTTTAAGTTATCATGTAAGCTAAATGTTTAAGCTAATGGTAAGTAGATTTAATTTGTTTATTTTTATTCATGTTTTTATTTCTCAACATTTGATGTAGTAGCATCAATTTTTTTATTCAATCAGCGCTCCTAAAACTAGTTTCACATGTAGGCATGTAAGGACTTTCAAGCCTGCAAATGGCCTGAAGATCTTTCAAACCGAGATACCTCCCTTGCTTTGTACTTTGATGCCATGAATGAAACAAAACTTGATGTGATCAAGGAGATCCAGAGGACATGTAGCCAAATAATCTCATTTTCTCACTTTGTTCCAAGGTTAGTCAAATGCTTTTGTTTTTGAACTACTCATAGACTGTTATTCAATAATTTCTTTTGGGAATATATAATTAGCTGGTTGTAGTTAGTAGCGAGACATTCGATGTTTACTGTAATTATATATAAGCTATAATCTCCTTTAATAAATGCCGATGATGACACTTTGTAAATGTTGCAAGGCAGTATAACCTTCTCCTTGGCTTATTGTTACTTGCATATCAATATTGCAGGCAAGAGCTATGTCCAGAGAAGAGGATGCTATTCTATCCAAACCTCCCCAAAATTATTGGCTCTGATAGTCTTGAGGTTCGTATAAGGTCAATACATGGGGTTGAAGGAGGGGTATCTGCCTGCCATGTCTTTGGTCACACCCACTTCTGTTGGGATGCTGTGCTTGATGGTATCAGGTATTATACTTCACCAGCCCACCAGTGAAATGGAGGTTTCTGAAAAATATTGTATAGCAAGTGCTCTTTTGCATTGAAGCTAATACAGTAGCAGTTAGGAACATGCAATTAAAGTTCCTTAAATTTAATAAAATGTTCTGTTTCTGATCAAAGAAGCAAAGGAAATTGTAGATAATATCTGCTTCAATTCTTTCAGAATAAAAAAGAGTGCACCTTTTCTGGGAATCACGTTCTCTTATATCATTGTTTCCTATCATTCATTTCGTCATTTGTACACGAGTTTACCCGAACTCCTATGTACACTGGGTTCAATCTTTCTAGTTTTTTTGTTTGATCTTGTCATAGCGTTGATGACAATAAATTCCGCTCTATGGCATTGTTGTTCTCAGGGTCTGATTGGATATATATGTAGGTATGTACAAGCACCGTTGGCTTACCCTAGAGAGAGGAATAGAAGAATGAATGGAGGTGAGAATTGGCTGCCATTTCGTATCTATTCTGATGGGAAGTATGCTGATAGACTCTCACCTTGTTACTGGTCTGATTACTATGCTTCTAACCCAAGAGCACCTCATAACACTCAACTTGCTCCATGGGTTGCCAAATTTTATAAACAAATATAGCTCACTATACAACTACAATTTAAGTAAATTTGTATATGCCTTCTTTCTATTTATTTCTCTGTTGTAACAATCTTGTCTACTCTCCAAACTCCCAGTTTGTTTTATGGGAACTTTTGGAGAAACAATGTCATTCATTCTTTGTAACTCTTTTTCATAAGGATATAAATAAAGTATAGATTTATATAGCATGGTATAATTTGTGTGTTAATGTGTGCCAATTAGAGCGAACTGGAAGGAAAGAGTAACAGAACGAAGAGTCTGGGCTTTTATTTTTATTGTCATGACGCAGGATAACAGTTGCACAAAGTGGACAGACTCGGAAGCTACCGACCCAATTGAAGAGATAAAGTACAGAGAAAGAAGATACGAGATGCAAGATGACAAATCAAAGAAAAAAGCAAAACAAAGCATTCATGTGCAAAAGTTACAATAGAAAAACTAGTAATCTTCAGGAGCCAAGGGCTGGTGAGTGTGATGTGGGGGCTCTGTTGGAATCACCATGTACTCATATATGAGTGCTGCTAGCCCTGATCCAATGAAAGGACCAACCCAGTAGATCCACTGGTTTTTCCATCTCCACCCAACAAGTGCTGGACCAAATGCTCTTGCTGGGTTCATGGCTGCTCCGTCAAATGGCCCTCCTGTCAAAACATTTGCTCCATATATGAACCCAATGGCCAGAGGTCCAATGATCCCCAAGCTTCCCCTCTTGGGATCAATTGCTGTTGCATAGAATGTGTACATCAAACCAAATGTTAACACAATCTCTAGCACAAGTCCATGTCCCTCTCCAACCCCAGATGCTACCCAAAATCCCACTGGTCTCTGCAAAATAACAACCAGTTGATGTTATTACACAATGATGAAGCAAACAATGGAGTTTAACAGAAGGACTGCTTATATTTTTACCATGCCGTTGGTGACAAGTCTCAACAAGAGAGTACCCACAATAGCAGCCAGAAGCTGAGCAATCCAGTAATAAACGGCACGGAGGACAGAGATTCTTCCTCCAAGAAGAGCACCAAAGGTAATAGCAGGGTTGACATGGCCACCTGAGATGTTGATACTCGCCGACACAGCTGCAAAAAGCGCCAACGCATGTGCTAGTGCTATCGCCACCAGATCAGAAGGTGTTGTGGTTGTAGCCTTGTATACCTTGTCTGCAAATTAACACAAACAACATGCACATAATATGCACCATCACCAAGCACCATTTCTTGCATGCATGCCTCAAAACTTTCACCATTTCATACTTTCAAGTCTGGATTTTAGCTTCACACCCGAAAATTTTCATACATTTATATGTGAACTCTTGTTATAAATTCGTATATGCATGCGTATAAAGATTAAGATGGAGAGTTAAGGATGATTATATACCTAGAGCGAGGATAGAGCCTTCGCCGGCGAAGACGAAGATGAGAGTGGAGATGAATTCAGCTAAGGTGGCTCTGATGGTATCCGGGTGAGCTACTTCATCACCTCTCCCAAATGTATATCTACGAGGTGGCATGGTGACTATGTATAATCTTGCCTTCGTTTGTCTCTCTTTGAAGAGTCTTTCAACAGATAGTCTACTACCAACAACAGTACTAGAGATCTCCTTTCTTTGAAAGTAGTATATTATACTACTGCTGCTGCTAATGCTTAAGCTTATGGTGTAATAATACTTTTATTTTGAAGTGGAAATAAGAGAGATGGTTTGTTGAGTTTCAGTTTTTGCATGAATGCGAAGTGGAATTTTAATGGCTTAAATTAGCCAAAGAAGGCTTGGAGTTTTGTGGGACACTTGGGGGGTTTTAATGCATGAAGGTTGACACGTTGGTGTATGTGTTCAGCTTCTGTTTCTCCAACTGGATTTGTTTAAACGGTGTGTCTCATCTCTATCTTTTCTTCGTTTCAATCTCTTCCTTTCTTCTTAAGCCACGGAAATGGTATGTTTGGCTATTGGAGTATTGGACTAACTTCAGTCATTCTTGAATGTAGGACTTCTTCAATGGTGAATAAGTTTTTTTTTTTACCTATAACCAACTTATCATATTATCTGTAAAAATTTATTAAAAATAAAAATTTCTAGAGGACGTCATAAACAATAAGTTTAAAGAGGTTGAAGATTCTCTTGGCCTGCAAACTTTTCATAATTTCATTAGAAGTAAAGCTGTCAGGTTTTGGAACATATTGCATACTTGAGATGCTACTTCTTTCATCAATGCCTGTATTGATTTTGAATTGAATTATTTGCACAAATGCAATACTTTAAAATTGAAAAAGATTGGAGAAAAAAGATTTCTGCTGTATATTTGCACACAATTTATGTTGTGGTTACATTGAGCCACAAGTTTCTTCAAAGAATTCTTGGATTTTCTTCTGGTTGAGTGGATGGTTAGACTATTTGTATAAAAGAATACAAAATAGAGTCAGTAAAGTTAGTGTCAGCTAAGAGCTCTCTCAGTTTCTGACCATAAATTTGGACTGTAAAATCACAAACTTCAGTCATTTTCTTCAACCTTTGGCTCAATTTCTTCTATTCTTCTCAATACTTCACTCATCTTTGGCCTTTTCTCTGGTGTCAAATCTGTGCATTCCAGAGCTAATTGTGTGAGCTTCAACATCTCTTCATGCCCTTCTCTTGTTGCTAATATTTCTACATCCAATATATCTGTTGACCAATCATTATTCACTACCATTCTAACCCAGTCAGAAAGATCATCAGTTGTTTCATCAATCCCTCCTGCAATTTCCCCAGGAATTTTCCCTGTTATAACCTCTAGTAAAATGATTCCAAAGCAGTAAACATCAGCTTTGTGTGTCAGCTTCTTCCCCTGAGAGAATTCAGGTGACTGGCCAATGGCTAGCTTTTCCAAAAATTTCCGGGAGGGCAGCAGTGGTAAGAACCCAAAATCTGAGAGCTTGGCATGGTAAGTTTGGTTATCTCGATGGATAAGAACGTTGGAGGACTTGAGATTTGCGTGAGGCACTTTGTGAGTAGGTAAAAATTGGTGAAGAAAGGCCAAACCCTTGGCTATATCTTTGATGATTGCCAATCTTGTTCTCCAATTCAAAGGAATTCTACCAACTCCTCTGCTCTCTGGCATCCACAATTTTCAGATATCAAAAACTTTTCTGAAACAATTAGAAAAAAAAAAAAAAAAAAATTAGAAAGGGTCCTTGGAACTGACCATGTAAGAGATCAAACAGGTTGCCGTTAGGCACAAACTCATAAATGATTAGCTTCTCTTCCTTGGAGTAGTAAAAGGAGATAATCTTTACAAGGTTTTCATGTCTCTTTTTCCCAGCAACTGCATCTGCTGGATAAATTCTTTTTTGCTCAAACCGTTCATGTTTTTGACTCTCTTCACAGCAACCAGAACCCAATTCCAGGGTTGCTTTGTTTGTACTGCCTAGCTTACCTTTGCCCAACTTCTGCTGATGCCCTTAGTAAATCATCCCAGTCAAAAACTGGTAGGTCCTGTCCAAAAATTCTAATTCCACCGTTCTCTCAGGATCCTCTGAGCTCCGCAAGTCGTCGTTTTCTTCTCTGATAACCTCCACAGACCTATCCACTGTTTGATAAAAGAAACAAAATGATCAAACTGCAAATTTAGAATCAAAATTTAGTAGTTCTGATGCTATTGATACAACTACCTTCTTGTTCCTTTTGCTTTTTCTTTTTCTTTTCCTTGCATCCTTTTGTAATAACACAAGAAAACAAGAATGACCAGGAAAGGAACCAGGGCTGCAGCAGCTGCAATGACAACAACACTCCATATTTGGAGACTTTTCTTCTTGCCCCTTGCTGGAATTGGAGGACTGGCTGCAGGTGGCGGCGTAATGATTGTAGGAGGAGGAGCTGGACATAAATTCCTCAAAGGAATCCCACAAAGACCTGAATTGTTATCATAGGAGCTCTCTGGGAACCTTTGAAGCACACCAGTTTGAGGGATTGGTCCTACCAGATGATTATAAGACACATTGAAAGCTGTCAAGGTTGATTGATTAAAAGCAGGAATCTGGCCAACTAAATAATTCTCTTGCAGCTCTAGCTCTCTCAGTCTTCCCAATTCAATGTACTGAAAAGGGATTTCCCCCGTGAACCGGTTTTCAGACAACAAAACATTCGCTAAGCTGACAAGATTAGTCAAATTCGGAAGCAAACCAGAGATAGAATTGTTCCTCAAGCTGAGCCTATTCAAGAATGTTATATTCTGCAAAAATGCAGGAGGGAGAACACCAGTGAGCTGAACACCTTCAAGAACAAGAGCAACAACATGCCCATTCGAGCAAGAAACACCAACCCATCTGCTTAAATTATAGAGACAAGGAGGCCCCGTCCAGTTTTTATGCAAATCAGCATTGGAAGTCACTTTATCTCTGAGGTCCAACAAATCCTGTCGTTCTCCAGGATAGTACTCGATGATCTTAGTTGAAGCAAGCACAACATTTTGTGAAAACAATGAAAACAACAACGCTAAAACAACTATCCTTCCACATAAAGTCATGGTCACGGCGAAAACAGCTGACACATGGGGCTACTTTTGATAATCAAAAGGGAGTTTCACTGGTTTGAGCATAAAAAAGATTACCCTGAAGTTTAATACCACAGATTGCGAAGTAAGCAAGGCAAGATTGGTAAGATTCAAAGAGTAAATGGCACAAAAGCGATACCAACAAAGCGATAACAACAACAAAGTGACAGCTTAGGCATCATTAAGGTTCATTATTTTTGACGGGTTGTTGATGATCATGAGAGAAAATGGATGGAATATTAAAATTAATAATGAATTAGAAGAAGATGATGGTTTAACTGTAAGCTTTCGTGAGAAGCAAAGAATGTCAAAGGGTGCATGGGAACTTGATTGATTGTCTGTGACAAAATGGAGAAGCACTCTTTCTAAGGTACAGCTCAACATCAATAATTAAATGGAAACCTTATATTATAATTTATGATGAGAGTTTGTTTGGTGGCTTTATTTATTTGGACTATATTATCATATCATCACAGTTGATGGCTGCAACTCTTGGAATTTTATTGATGGAATAATAACCTATTTTAATATGTAAGATGGAGATATATAGTTATATTTTTTAAAGTTTTTTTTAATAAATAAAAGAATATTATCTTGTTTTTATTGAAAACCCATTTGATTTGAATATATTTGTCTCCTTATGTAGGGAAAATAAATAATCTAGGAATTTAAAGAATTGTATAGAGTTTAAAGATGATTTGTGGAAATTTATTAATTAAAAAAATAAAAATAAAGAGTCTTAAGTCTCAAAAGAACTATCATAAAACATAAGGAAAAGGAATGACTGAAGGCAAATTAAAAAAAAAAAAAAAAAGTACTATGTAATATGTATAATCTATCCTCCAAAAAAAGGCACTAAAAATTAACCATATTGAGAAATAATAAACATAAAGCTCACTCTCATATTTTCCATATCCTTTGAGAATTCTCTCTCATATTCTTCCTTTTTCCATCAAACAATTTATATTAAATAATGAACAAAGGAAATCGGTGTAAGAATTTCACTATCTTCAACTAGGATACAATCCAAAAAATAGTCGAGGTGTACGTAAGTTAACCCAAATACCTTGATTACACACATAAAAAAAAAAAAAGATACAATTTAAAATTTATGCATAATTTATTAAAAAAATAAATATTAAAACAAAAAGATATATTTCAATGGAATAATTAATTTTAAAAAAATTATCATAACATAAAGTTTGAAAATAGTATAAAGTTTAAAGTTTTGACTTTTGTGATTTCAAGAACAAGAATGCTGAATTGTCATGTTTGGTAGGTCTTCTAATTTTCCTATATTGACTTTATCCTATTATAAAAATTAGAAGAATAAAAAAAGATGGTTAATTAAATCTTTAATGAGATTAGCTTAATAATAGATCAATGATTATCTATTAAATATTTTAAGGAACGTTACATCCTAATCTAATTAATTATGTTGTTAACTTAATCTCCCTATATTTTAAATAAAAATACAAATAGAAATCTCTCTTTATGATCGGATGACAAACCCTTTAGCTATTGGGGTTAATTATATCTATGTGGTCTTATCGTAAAAGAAGTACTTATTACATTTGTGCAATTAGGCCTGGATACCTAGATACCTAAAAACAAAAGATACAAAGAGACTCAATTAATGTAGTTTAAGGTTAATTTTTTTTTTATTTTTTATTCTTGCCTAAGATCTTAACCCGATCCAGCCCACGATGGGTTTAATGTCGGGCTAAGCCCTTTTTTGGTACTGACTACTGAGCTTGTGTCGGGCCGTGTAAGCCCGACCCAATTTACTCCTTTATTGGTATGGGAGGTGAGTGATAATTCTTAAAATAAAGGGAGTGTTCTGAAAAGCCATAAAGAAACAGTAGAACGACACGTGCACTGCACAAGTAAGAAGAGGAAAGAAGGGTTTATTCCTTGACACTTGAGAGACAGTTCTTCTCAGCTCCCAGCCTACGCGATTTCTGTAAGCTTTCTTCTTCTTCGTCGTTGTTTTTAGCATTTTAGGGTTTTAATTATCAAGCTCGGTACTTCCTTATTTTTAATTTTTTTTTTGGTGTTTTTTCAATTTCATGTTGTCGTGTGTGCGCCGTTTGGTATATGCAATGCGTTTCCTTTGCTTTAGTACTGGCCCAGTAATGCTGCCGGTGACGTTTCTGATTATTGTAGGTTACTGAAATAATGGTGTATTTCAAATTTATTGTCGTAGTGAATACCTGTTGAGCTTGGAATTCTTACCGGATTTGGTATCCAATACCATACCTCTCCAATTACCTATAATTTGATACTGCTATTGTTATTGTTTGTGTTGCTGTCATTGTTGCATTGGTTTGTTTTGGACTTCCAATGGATCCAATTTTGTGTTGAGTCGTTGAAGTTTGGATTCAAATCCGAGTTCAAATTTAAGAGGACTATATATTTGTCTGAACAGAGAACAGAAAAATAAATAACGCCATCATGGACTTTGGCAGTGAACTTTTTGGTGTTCCATATCTGTCGCAACACTTATAATGAAGCTTCTTAGTATCAAAAGTTTATATGATTATGCATTTAAGATTAAGACTAGACATGTGCTTGACATATATACCTTATTCATTTGAAGTGTGCTTGCTGATAATTATAGTTAACGGGTTTCTCGAATTTTTTTTCCTTTCGATTGGATATATTTCTTTCTGGTTCCCCTTTCCTCTGCCCCTAAACATGTTATGCAGTGAGTTTTTGGTAACTAGATTGTTGTTATATATCTAATCTGCTTTCTTTTTTCCTTATATGAAAAATTTATTTATGCAGAAAATATTGCTGTCAACCCATCTTGCCAAGGGTTTTCTGATTCAGGGGTTCAGGAAGTGGTACAATGTCAAGTGGCCCTGGACTTGAATCTCTTGTAGATCGTATGAATTCTTTATTATCTCTTGTTATTGCTGATTTCTTTCCTGTAGGCTATCTATAAGCTAGGGAACATGGCACCTAAGTCTTGAAGAGTTGAGGTTTATAAATTTACATATTAAATAATTATTGGCAAATTAATTCCAGTGTAAATAGATACTGATGGAGATCTAATTTTTTTAGACAATCTAGGAGTAGTTTTTATCAACCATTCACTCTAATTGATTTTTTTTTTTAAAAGTATATTAAGAAATTAATAGAGCTGCTGTGAGAAAGTGTTTTGTGATTAAATCACTGTTCAAATCATTTGGAAATTGTTCGATTGCGCGTTTAAGTATGTAGAACATAATGCAACAGAGTGATATATTAAGAATTGTTAGATAAGACATTTGCCTCATGAGTTTTGACAAAGTACAAGTTTTCTTGGCTTGTCATCTGTGTGTCTAACTAGAGACTTAAATCTTTTGGGTCTTTAGTGGTGCTTTCCTTGAGGTGTTTTAAGGTCCTCAAATGCTTTTTAAAATCCCTTGTTTTAGGTAAAAGTAATTACAGTTCTTTATGCTTCCCTATGCTTCATCCTATTCCTTTGGGTATTTTGTTGGGGCTAAATAAATTCACTCTCATTTATTCATTAACAGTTTCCTTTGTGTACAGAGACAATATCAGTCATCACAAATGATGGACGCAACATAGTGGTATGTAACAACATTTGTCCAATAATCTATATGATCTTTTAGAATATTAGTTCAATAGATCTTGATCTGGTTTCTGATATAATTTACTTACATTATTCTTTTCAAATATATGTAGGGAATTTTGAAAGGATTTGACCAGGCCACTAATATAATCCTTGATGAATCTCACGAGCGTGTTTACTCTACTAAGGTCTGCATCGTATCTCCATGAGCTTCGTTTTGTCATTGGTTTCCTTTTCTCTTGGTGCCTTGGTAATTGGAGGAAAATTGGGTTTTCACAATCTTATATACTTTTAGGAGTATGGATTTTCTGTTGTTTCCTCTGGTAAACCGAGAGCAGCAATATTATTTACCTGAGGATTGTTTTTGAAGCTTAACATACAATAGATAAATAAATAATGGAAGAGGTTTCTCACTTATTATGATATTGCAGGAAGGTGTTCAGCAACTTGTGTTAGGATTGTACATAATAAGGGGCGACAACATGTAATTCCGTGTTCTTCCTTTCAAATTTAATACTATTTTACTTTTCTTTTTTCCGGTATTTACAATTTGGTGGGGTGAAGAGCTCATCTGTTCACATGTAACTTTTATCATATTCAGTGAGTATTTATATATTCTTATCGCTTGATTCTTGCAGAAGCATTGTTGGAGAACTTGATGAAGAACTGGATTCTAGTCTAGACTTGTCAAATTTGAGGGCACATCCCCTCAAACCTGTTATCCATTAATGGATCATGGAAGCTATAGAGCTGTTGTTCACTCGCCGAGCATTAGGAACCTGTTTTCAGGAGTACGATAACAAAAGCGATAAACTAGACATTAGATTGATACTCTGAAAGTGTTCGTCTTTTTGTGTTAATTGTTTTCTATAATGTACTGATGTTTGTAGACTGGCACAAGATCTAATCTATGCTGAATCATTTTGTGATTGTGCTTATGTGAGATTTGGAGTATTCGCTTTTATGGTTTAGAATCTATCCTCTACATGTTATAAGGTTCATTATATTGTCTCCATATGCTGTCAAGCGTAGTGGCAAAGCATTATAGAATAGAATCTAAATTGAATAATATACTAATGGTTGGAAAGTGGGGTATTATATTGATTCATGCTATTGCTGCATTACTAGTTTAGTACTTTAGTTATGTTATTTGTTTGGTTTAAGCAATAGGATTGGATAGGCTTAATAACATTATCGGATCAATAGAATATTATCATATGATTGTATAAGATTGTGAAAGGTCAATGCATATTTGGCTCATTCATCAAACAAAATAAGATTGGATAACAAAACAACTCGGTATGCATATAAGAGCTTTTTGGGATCTCATAATGCTAATGTTATTAGGACGTGTCAAATTGTCAATAATGTATTCCTTAAAATGTAACTATCACATTTAGAAAGTGATAATGCCAAAATTATTGATGAACCATGTTGTCAATAATTACTTAACCAGATGGAAATACTTCTATTTCTGGGCAAAATGTGAAACCAAATAGATCCTAATTAAAATCAGATTTGAACTGAAACTTCATAAAAGCTTAACCAAATTATAACACCTAACTTGATTCCAATGTAAATATGCTTGAACAAATACAAAAATGGATATAGATCGTCTATATGACTCTTTAGTGTGTGAGAATGATACTCAAAACTATTCTTTACAACCAGCCTTGAAGCCAAGTTAAAAAAACTATAACAAGCATTAACAGAAACCAAGCTTTCCATGACAAAAATTTCAGGGTTGGTGTTTGCACTGAAATCAGAATTCAACCCTATAATATATGGATAGTATCACAGGTGGTGCAACAAAATTATTTATGGACTTTCACTAATTCCATATCAAACACCAGTGATGAGTTTGGTGGAACATTCTTACCATCTCCTTCACTTCCATAACTGCATCAGAAATAAGATATNACTTGATTCCAATGTAAATATGCTTGAACAAATACAAAAATGGATATAGATCGTCTATATGACTCTTTAGTGTATGAGAATGATACTCAAAACTATTCTTTACAACCAGCCTTGAAGCCAAGTTAAAAAAACTATAACAAGCATTAACAGAAACCAAGCTTTCCATGACAAAAATTTCAGGGTTGGTGTTTGCACTCGAAATCAGAATTCAACCCTATAATATATAGACAGTATCACAGGCGGCGCAGCAAAATCATTTATGGACTTTCACTAATTCCATATCAAACACCAGTGATGAGTTTGGTGGAACATTCTTACCATCTCCTTCACTTCCATAACTGCATCAGAAATAAGATATGTCTTCAATGAGAGTAACGTCCAAAATTGAATCAAAAAGGAAAACTAAGTACATGCATTTCAGAAGAGTCTCGATCACATACCCCATTGATGGAGGTACAAAGATCCTTCTTTTCTCACCAACTCGCATGCCTGATAACACAGATCAGTTTATTGATAAGTTTCACAAGAAATAGCAACAAATAGTTTGAAAAGTTATAACCAAGCAGCATGAGCATTCAATTAGACAAGAGAAAAAAAAAAAAAAAAAAATGGGTCTTCATAATTATACCTTCAAGACCAACATTGAAACAATCTAAGACATCCTTCCCACCTGTAATTACAAACATAGTCAAAAGTATAAGAAATAAATATAAACAAATCATCATATCTTTGCAAACTGAGGTTTCATCTAATAAGATACCACCTAAGCGAAACTTAAATGGAGTGCCATCAAGATTGGAATCAAACACTTGTCCATTCTCCTTTAATTTCCCAGTGTAGAGTACACTGATCTGCAACCAAAGAAAGGTTATTTGAAGTGACAATTAGTTTCTTTAATATATTTCTTTTATTTGCTACAGAAGAATGTTTAAAAAAGAAAATTAATATTTTGGGTAAGCTACAATTGAACACAAAGACTCAGCCCAAGAAAAAGTAATAAATTTCAAACATATGTTAAATAAAATAACCATCATTTAATCAATTAAGCACAGATCCATGCGGACTTGCCTTTTTTCCCGAGGTGGCGACTTTACCATCTGATTGTCCCTTTTCTAGCTCCTCAATTACCACTTCATTAGACAAGGTCCTAAGCTGAGATAACTTGCTATCAGAACTCTTTTCAGTATCCGTAACTAATCCACTCTTTTCATCCCTAGATAGCAGAGATATTTCCATATCTGTAATCTTTCCATCCTCATTGGTTTTCCTTTTCTTCTTTTTCTTTTTCTTCTCCTCAGATGGATTTTCACCAGCTGATTGAACATCATTGTCAGAAATCCTGCATTTAATAAGCAGAGAAACATTTCTGTAAATACAAAGTTGATGTAAAATACACAGAAATCTGTTATTGTATAAAAGGGTAGCATACAAGACCAGCAAGTATATCAAATCAAGATATTTGTGTTCGAGTCCCACACCGACTAAGCACGCTCAAGCCTACTAGTTTACAAGAGGGGATAATTCTCCAATTTAAAAATGCCTTATTGGGTGAGGAGTTATACCCACCTCAAATTTTATCATGGTATCAGAACCCAAGTTCAACTGAGTTGAGTGCTTGACCAACGGATGAGGAGTTAGAGCCAAAAACTACCTCCATCAACAAGCATGACCTAACATATGGGCTTGATTGTGAGGGGGAGTATTAGAGTCTCATACCGACTAGGCACGCTAAAGCTTACTAGTTTGTAAGAGAGGGAAATTATCCAATTCAACAAGGTCTTTTTGGTTGAAGAGTCAAGTCCACCTCAAATTCTATCATGATATTAGAGCCCAGGTTCAGTTGAGCTGAGTGTTTGACCAGCGGATGAGGAGTTAGAGCCAACAACTACCTCCATTAACAGGCATGACCCAACATATGGGCTTGACCGTGAGAGGGAGTGTTAGAGTTTCACACCGACTAGGCACGCTCAGCCTACTGGTTTATAAAAAGGGGTAATCCTCCCATTCAAAAAGGTTTTATTGGGTGAGGAGTCAGGCCCACCTCAAATTTTATCAATTTGAATGCATTTATGAATTTGAGTAAAATGTGATTTTTTTTTTTTTTTTTTTTTTTGTTTTTTTAAACAAGAAACTAAAACCTTCGTATTACAGTAAAAAGATCTAAGGAGATACAGTTGTGGATCAGGTGTCCACAAAGAATAAAATAAAGCAGGAAGCGACTAATTCTACACAAAGTACAGAGAGTAATTATCCCTCTTTTGTACCAAAAAAGCCCATAAACTATACAAAATCAACCCAAAACCCTTCCCAATTCTATACAAACAAAATAATTGTCCTTCCCATGTGACTGAGCTTGCACAAGTAAAACTACAAAGAATCTGAAAAGAAACCAAGAATACTCACTTATCATTAGCTTGTTTCTCATTTTGCTCATTTCTCACAGGCAGATCCTGGTCCATGCTGTTGGGCTTCACCTCATCTTGCAAGGCGCTATCCTCTATTGTAACATTGGTATGGTAATTACTGTCAGCTTCAAAGCTTTTCTCTGCATGGTCTTTCCTTTTCCTCTTCTTTGGCTTTGCATCACTTTCAGGACCCATCTGGGTAGAAGCTGGCATGGAATCAGGTGGCAGGTCAGCACTGTTGCCACTAGATTATATCAGAAAAAGTTGAAGAAAACAAGAATCAGTAATCAGATTTGATTTCATGATTAAAAGCTTTGCAAATACACACACACACACACACACACACACATAGAGAGAGAGAGAGAGAGAGAGAGATTATATAATGTTTTCTTTACATCTTTGAGAAAGCCATTATCAAAATCCAGAACTTCAGGGTTTTGCTCAAAGTGAACTTTAAAAGTGTTCAATTTGAATTACTCCTTTTCTTAATATATTTTTTTCACAACGATTGCATATATAAAGACTTCTGGAACGCAAGAATAAACCTTATTAAAGAGGGATGAATACTCACTCATAATTAGAAGTCTTTTCATTTTCTTCATTTCCCAGAGACAAATTTTGAACCTTTTTGTCAGCCTCTGCATCATTTTGCTTGGCTTTATCCTCTTCAAGGACATTACAGCAACCATCAGTATTGATATCTTTTACCCCTTTAGACCGTGCTTTCTTTTTCTTCTTTGGCTTCGCACCATTTTCAGGGATCACCACAACAGCAGGCAGCACAAAATCACCTGAGTTAGGCCTGCTTGAGTACATTAACAAATGAAGAGAAAGATTGGTCAAGGAGAAGAATAATCAATAATACTCGACACAGTAGCAGACAAACAATAGAAAATGTTGTCACAAGCATCAAAATAGGCTCTTTTAGTCGTGTTAACATTGCATGTGTAAATCCACATGAATTTCCTTCTCCAGCATGAGATCAAAGCTTTTACAAGTAAAAATATTATCAACATGGCTTGTTGTAGAACCTCAAAACTATAGCTTGTAGCATGAACCTAGTATAATTCATAAATGAGAGGAGTTAAGCTTCCACCAAGTACCAGTTACACAGGCTCTCACCTTTTGGGCTCAGCATTGTCAACAGCATCAACTTTTCTTTCCATTATAGTAAAATAATGCTCTTCCTTGGTGTCACAGTTGATTGTCTCACATCTTTTCTTGTCAGGTTTTTCTTCTGCTTCAAATTTTCCATTCTCAGTAGCAGGATTGGTATCACGATTTTTCTCAATTCTTTCTTCAGCTTCCAATTTTCCTGTCCTAGTAGCAGGACTACCCTTGCAAAGGGAGGAAATTGGCAACATGTCTTCACTTTCGCTGTCCAGCGCCGTTGTATCATTGGCATTGGTATGTTCTTGAGCACCAACATCATCATCAGTCTCACTCAATTGGTACTTCTTCCTAAGTCGTTTATGGCTGTCCTTCACATTCTTAGGTTTTCTTTTGTCCGGTGTCACTTCAAATTCTTGAACTAAAAGCATAATGGTAAACAGTGAAAACCTTCAGATAAATGTTGCTTAAACTAGTATATATTTCATATGCTAGGTTTAGAAATATCAACTCAACTGGAAAAACGATTACTTTGATATGTTCAATTTTGTCCAATCTTCTTGTGCAAGATTTGAAGGGCAGCTAGAATTACTCAGTTAAAGAATAATGTCTAGATGATAAGAAAATTCCAGACATCCTGATAAAAGAATTTTTAAAATTGAACTAAGATCCATGATCAAATTTGTTTGATGTTTGACAAATCATCTAACCAAGATTTGTGACCACAATTGTGAAGCATACACCAAGATAAAAAGATTTTGAAAACAACAGTCACCCCAAACAATTTGAAACAGTTAAATATTCTAATGTATCAAAACTATATCATGATAGATAATCATGGATCACTCAATATCAAAATATACTGAAGAACTATCCTCAGTAACAGTGAAGGTGTGAAGCTGATATCATGAGTCAATGAAAACAGTCAAAGAAGTAGACATAATGCTAAACATACCTTTATCACCAGAAAGAGGAGAAGGTGGGAAGAGCTTTGGATCACTGTCATCAATAAAACTATCCTCATACTTATCTTCATCACTACGGCCCGTAGATCTTTCTGTTTCAGTGTCTGCAATATCTTCTCCATAGGATTCGCTAACAATTATAGTAAAGGAAAAAATAGAGACAATCCCATTCCAAAAGTTAAAAAAAAAAAAAAAAAAAAAAAAATTTACATATTTACTTCTTTTAACATAATCTACAATTGGTTTCTGAGATAAATCAAAATAAAGGAAAAGAGCAAAAAATTAAATGTAACTTAGGTCTCCAAAATTAAAAGCCAACGATAATAGATTTGAATGAAGTTTATGAGCTCAATTCATTAAAGAGATGTAATTTTACAGGGTCAAAAAAATTAAAAGGATACGATTCGTCATTAAGATTATAGTGCCTACCACCACTACCCAAAAAGTAACCAGTGAGATGAACACTTCGAGGGCCAATAACTGAAAACACAACCTCATTAGCCTCCTCAAATTCCAAATTCAATTGACAAGACTCGGCCTTCTCAGGAAACAAAGAGCATAGGAAAACAGGACTCTTGTTTCCTACATTACACTGAACTACACTTTTCTTAGTAGCATTACCAGTCCCAAGTGTTGCCTGAGAATAACATTCATGCACCATTATCAACCAAATGAATAAAAACAAAACCCATTTCACATTAAATTTCATAGCCACCAAAATTAAAATGGAACTGAAAACAATAGAATACCTACGATAAACCAAAGGGCGAAGCCCACTTGGTAAATCTTTTCAAATTTCTCATTCAAGAACATAAAGTCCCCAACAATAGAATATAAACCCATTTCACCAAACCTCGAATCATAACAAATACATACAATTAGAGGAACGCTTCAGTACCAAGATGCTAATCTCTAATCAATTAGGTTTCAATAACCCACAATTTCATATTGGAAACTCAACATCACTTTAATAATGAAATATGAATTACAGCACAACATTATCTTAATAAAATACAATGAATATCAGGTAAACAGTATCGGTTCAGTAGCCTAGTTGCTACTGCATGCAATTAATAAAACTAAAATCAGCTCAAAGTAGTAGTACTCCAACAACGAAAACTATACGAATTGACATATATAATTGATTATAAAGTGAAAAGGATTTCTTTTCAGAGAAGGAAAAAAAAGTAAAAAAGTTTGGTTGTTGAAGTTTACCTGGGAAATGTGAAGCCTATCTCTTGCATTATCAGCTATATGAGTGAACGGTTTTCCGGGTTTCACTTCAACTCCTGCAACAGTTCAAATAAATCTTTATGTTATTGTTTACCAAGTATAATCAATGAAAAAACCACATGAAAATGAGAAGAAAGAAGAAAGAAGAAAGAAAGCTAACCCCAGAAAGCCATGGAAGTACAAGAAGAGAAATCTCCTAAACCCCTAATTCTGTTTGAATGATTTTATAGTAACTCAAAACCCTCAGGGGCTGATGGTGATGCTGGCGGTCATTTTACGATTCCACCGCACGGCATGTCAAATATGGCGCAACTTGGACCGCCAGGACCGGCCCAATTTAATTATTAGCAAATATTAAGAAGGTCTGGTAGGTTTTAAAATTTACAAAGACGCCCAGTTTTTTGTTTCCTTTTGCTCCGTTAGGATGAACACATCATATGAGAGATCTTAGGAAAATTATTAAGTGGTCCCCAGATTTGGTCTAGGTAACACTTGGTCTAGTATAAATCCTAGTTAGTAAATACGGGTATGGCAAAAAAAGGGTACGGGAATTTTATAGGTATAATACGGCAAACGGTGAAAAATACGTTTATAAAAATTCGGCCATAAAATTTGGGTACAGGAAAAATACGATACGGGTATATACAAGTTTAATACGGTGCATTGTCAATAATACGTTTTGAAAAATACGACAATATCAATCTTAGTTTTAACACTTTTATGGATTACCTAGTTAAATAAGCTTATTCTTTTTGTTAAATGACCTTAAATAAGGTTAAATAATAATTATTATAAAGAATAACTGATATTTAAATTATAGTCTTCAGACTCAAACACAATATTTAGCCATGATTCTTTACTAATTTAAAACTTGATAAGTTTGATATTAAATACAACCAATCTTAACTTCTCATTAATCTATTAAATTATATTAAATCAAGAACTAAAATTTTGTCTCACAAATCTATATAAAATATTAGTGTTACAATACCTATAATATATGACTTTAATTGTTTATCATTTATTTATTTATTTTGATTCAATAAAAGTGAAGACTACTGGATTACTAGGTTGAATATCAGTTATTCTTTATAATAATTATTATTTAACCTTATTTAAGGTTATTTAACATAAAGAATAAAATTATTTTAATATCATTAATCTAATCTCAAACTCCTTTTCTAATCTCTTACGCTATAAAAGAAGACAATATAATTATATTTTTATAATAATTATTATTAGGAAACCCCAGATATTTTTTGTTGGATCCCATGTTACTAATAAATCATCACTTAATTTAGACCCTACACGTCACAGATTGCTTTGGGATTCTGAATTTGGACAAAATAATTAGATCTTGTCCCATTCCACTCTTCTTCTAATGGCTATTTAATTTCCACTGATTTTTATTTCTTCTTCCCCCACCAAAACGACGTCGTTTCAATCAATTTTTTTTTTTTTTTTTTTTCAATCATTCGCTAATAATTCGCGTATAATATGCGTTTTATATGTGAATTATACGGATATCTCAAAAATTTGTGAATAATTCGACACCCATATAAAAAGTATGTAAATATGCGTTTTATACTCGTATTTACTAACTAGGGTATAAATTTTCATCTATTAAACGATCTGAGGAACTTTTGTTTTAGTGACATGAAGCAAGGTTTTAAAACCCGACCCGGGGGGCAACCCGGCCAAGCTATTGGGTCACAGGTTTTATGGGTCAAATGATTTGACCGACGGGTCAGATCGTGACATCATCATGCTGATGTCAACATGACATCAGCAAATGTTTTATTTTTATTTTAAAAAAATGCAGATTTTAATTTTTAATTGGTTTTTTTTTTTTTTTTTCTTCTCTGCTGTGCTGGTTTTGTCGAATAAAAATGGGGAAGGGAGAAGAAAAAAGCTAAAAAGGGTTACTTTTAATTTTTAATATTTTACTGTAGTAACCCAGGTTATATCGGTTGGATCGGTGATTCGTTGTAAAAAAATTGGTTCAATCGCGGGTGGAAGCGGGTCAAATACTATTTTCGGTTTTTTACATAAACCAACCTGATCTAGCCACCAGTTCTCGGTCAAACTAGTTCAACTAGCCAGGCTGGGCTAGGCTTTAAAATCATGCATGAAGTAAACATTCAATTTGACTCAAGTTCCTTTGGCAAAAATTTAGGGATGAAATTGTAATATATGGAAACGTTAAAATAGGACAAATCTTATTTACCTCCAACATGTTTTACAAATAGCCAAGTAAGTCTTCATTATCATTCTCAATAGTCAATACAGCTTACAGAATTAATATATAAACCATTCAAAGGTGAAGAGCACTATAATTTTTACGCATGTTTTCACACAATTTTTTTTTTTTTTTTTAACACCAAGAAGCAAGTTATGGCCTCGTTGACCATGACCTAAAGGTAAGAAAGTTGTCACATTAACCCATAATATAATGTAGCATTAAATTTCCTTCTCTTTTTTCAACCTTATGCACTTCGAAGATTAAGGTTAATAGCAATAACTCCTCTTAGATAAATCAAATAAAAGAATTCCTTTATAGAGAAATAACAAAACCCTCCATGTCATTAGTTTTTTTGTATTAAAATAAACAGTAAAAAGACAATTAAGTAACTATTTATTCACTTATCATGTTATAAACTCTACAGAAAACTAACGACTAACTAGCTGTGAGAAGATTTTTGTAATTTTTGAAATCTCAAAGGAATTTTGTTATTTAATTAAACCTCTAGGGTTGAGATAAAGCCTGTAGTATTTATATATTAAAGAGCTGCTTTGTATGGTACCTTAAAGTGCAGCCCCTTATTTAATTACTTGCAAATTTGGTCCATCTAATGATCTATTTGTTTTAGTCATAATTTAATTGGTCAGCCCTTGCAATGAATAGTACCTCGTTTTGACTAAATGGTGCTAAATTTTCTCTGCACTCTATAGATTAATTTGAAGATGTGAGCTTTTCTTATTATACACCAGCCCCCTATCCGCTCCGCATAGTTTATTTAATCAGCTCCTTTGAAGTGCATCCTGTTATATCATTTCGCAGTCAATTATAAGTTAAATAGCAAAGATGTGTTCAGAGAAATTAAGCCTTTGAACTCAATAAACAGTACTCCAGGTAACCCGAATTTAGCAGTTCACTAGCAGAAAATATCTCTATTGATGCGATTTTTCACACCAACGAAAAATACGTAAATCTCGTGATGAAACCTACGCAAGGGTTTGTAGTAAACTGGTGTCTTAATGCTAGATTAATGCTAAAATGATAAATAAAAACAAAAAAACATAGAATTTTTAAATTGATTTGGATGCAAGGTACAACTCCTACGTCCACTGTTATTTAATTGCTTTACTTGTGTATTTTTAAAGTACAAGCAAGCTCAAATCTTAGTACAGATGAAACACTTTTTACAAAAGATTCATTCATTAGGGTGAGAGACCCGTTTATATATTGTTCCCTTGCTAGACTTACTGGTGAAGTAATCCTTACAACGAGTGACACATGGCCTGGGGTGGACTTACACATGAAGTAACCTTCTTATAAAGTAACACACAACCTGATTAACAGTTCAACCTTGAGACTTACCGTTGAAGCAATCTTTGACATTCTTACAAGTGAAATAAGCCTCTTATGAAGCGACACGCAACCTCATGACAATACAACCTTGGGACACGTGACATGAATCCATGCAATGTGGATTTACCGCACAACAACCTACTAAAGTAAATATAATTCCAGAAGTTTGTGACATTTAGCCCTTCCCTTGGCTTTTAGAAGTTAACTTATTGTAAACTCCCTTACCAAGTTTTGTAATTCCAAAAAAATTTCTTAATGTTCTGCCAAACCGTTAGTGTTTCGAAACAAAAATCACCCTTTATATATATAACATCCCATTCTCATTTAGCAAGGCACAAAACCAGGACAGTAGTGTTGAATTTTAACTATAGACTTTTATTAAACGATAATCGATGAAATTATAGCATTGCCATCATATACTACAATAATATATTACAAGTCCAGAATCATATCATCATAATTATTATGCCTGGAAAAGTAGGCCTAACGCAGAGCCCTGTCAGCGTAAGTGGTCAGAGCTTAGGTAAGTCCAGCAGCCGTTTAGATGCAGCCACATCGCACGCTGACGCAAGAGGCGTGCTCCTGCTAGTGTAGTAGGTGTGCATTAAGCTGGTGAAAGGCGGGAGGTGATCCACGTGTCCGATCCCTGCAAGAATCGAGTAAATCACTCGAGCAGGTGAATAACGGGACGTAAGGAAGGATTTGGATGGCAATCTGACCCACTCCCTGATCTAGTAATCATTACCTCAATTCATCCCACTATAAACAGAGGGCTTCTCTCCCGTTTTTGGGATTAGCTAATTTCTCTCTGGAATAGCATACATATTTTCTCTTTGTAATCACTTGTAAATCAGCTCGCTGAACACGACCTGACCTCAGTATATTAATACAATATCAGTGGACGTAGTAGTCACTTGTTTAAGCATCCGAACCACTTTAAACATCGTTCCCCATCTCTTATCCATTCTCATATCCCCATTCACGTGTGTTTTCTAAGTCAGTTCAGCATTTCACACGTGCGTTTAGTTGGTGTCAAAATCACGCATCAACAGTTTGGCGCTAGAAGGAGGGGCTAATTTAGTATTCGTCCTTCATCAGGAGAATCTCTAACTAGTCGGTCCTGCAACAGTAAATGGCTTGCGGATTTGAATTTGAACGAACCAACCATGGTGAGGGAGAAATCCCTCAGGTGCAAGAGGACACTTCTTTCGAAATGCCCCCAGTTCCGCAAAATCTCGTGGGGGATATTTCTTCAAGCTCACGACTTGACCCAACCGTCATGAGCTACCTGGAAAGGTTCAACAGTACTCTTCAAATGGTCAACCAAAGGCTGGACCGTTTGGATTGGGTTGCACCACCCGAATCAAATGAGGCGGTGCCACCTCCTAAAACGCCTACAGGTCACATGAAAGCGCGGAAAAGGGTGATAGCTCGTGCCACACGCATTGTAGCACTTCAAAGGAAGGGAAAACAGGTGGCGAACAATGGGCCTAGAGGCTCTGGGGGACCAGCGAACACCAACTGTACCCCGGGTAGAATACCCGTGGCGTAAAGGCTCGGTGACAGGTTGTAGCCCGAGCTGTTGCATGCCACATCGCGCGAGCACTCCCATAAAGTGCAAGGCGGGGAGATTCCCACTATCACCAAAATGACGACCCCGATCGTCATC